ATCCCGATGTGTCAGATGATAATTTGGAATCCGATGAAGAAGATGTGCAGTACAGTACAGTGAAACTTCAAAGAATTTTAGAGAGCCTTGATGAGCCTCATGATGGAATTCTAGCACCCACACCTGATAGTCTTATTAGTAATATAAGTAATGCGTCTGTTGAAAACCAACCTAGTCCATCACCTCAACCAACCAACAGTGACCGGCTTAGGCGGGCAAGAATAATCCAAAATGCACCCAGTACTTCTGGCACTCAACAGACCTTACGGCGACAACCACAATCACCAGTAGCAAATACTAACTCAGATTCGGAAACAGATGATTCAGACGGCGAAGAGGAAACATGGAAAAAAACTATGTGGACAACTGATCGGCCAAGTCCTAGCGTTTACGATGAAATTCCGATGGAACCGGCAATTATGTTTAGCAGCCGTACTAGACCTGTAACTGTATTTGAAAAATTCTTCACTGATGAAGTCTACGATTTGATAATATATCAAACAAACTTATATGCAGAGCAAAGGAAAGATGAAGGATGGACACAATTAGATAAAAAAGAACTGAAGGCCTTTGTAGGGATTTTTATAATAATGGGATACAATATTCTGCCTTCTATTGACCTTCATTGGTCTTCCGACCCTGGTTTCAGGGTAGATGAAATAGCAGAGACTATGACCGTAAAGCGATTCAAGAAGATATTGCGAAATCTGCACGTGAATGATAATACACAGATACCAGATAAGACAAGCGAGAACTATGACAAACTTTACAAAATACGCCCATTATTGGATCTTATCACTCAGGCATGTCAGAAAAATGCCAAAGACTCCTCATCCCAAAGTATTGATGAATCGATGATTCTCTTCAAAGGCCGGTCTTCCATGAAACAGTATATGCCTCTAAAGCCCATAAAAAGAGGTTACAAGGTATGGTGTCGCTGTGACAGTAAAACTGGGTATCTCTATGAATTCTACATATACACTGGAAAATCAAAAACCGGAACAGAGGAAGGACTAGGATCCAAAGTTGTGAAGATGTTGACTGAAAAGCTGATAAATAAAGCACGGGAGGAATATCATATTATTATTACATTTGACAATTTCTTCTGTGACTACACTCTAATGCAATATCTATATGAAAATGGCATTTATGCTACAGGAACTGTACGAAGACACAGAAAACATCTGCCTGTACTTGTAAAAACGAATCAGAAGCTTGCAAAAGGACAATATAAATGGAGAGTCAAGGGAAATGTATCTTTCTTAGTTTGGCAAGATACCAAAGAGGTTCTCCTATTGAGTAATGCATTCCATCCAAAAGTTGGCAAAACCACTGTCTTACGGACTCAGAAAGACGGCACAAAACAAGAAATCAACTGCCCGTTAGCAATAAAGGAGTATACTAAAAGGATGGGAGGCGTTGATCACTTTGATCAGATAAAAAGTACCTATTCAGTAGGCAGAAGAAGTAGGAGATGGTGGGTCCGAATATTCTTTTTCCTTTTAGATACAAGTATAACAAATGCATACTTGTTATATTGCCAAAATAAGAATGCGACAAAACTAAGCAATCTTGAATTTCGAGTCTCTGTCGCTAGAGGACTGATCAGTGGGTTTTCCAGTAGAAAACGACGATCTGGTAGTTTAGTCAACTATATCTGCAGAAAAAAAATTGCTTCTGAGAATCGCCAAAAGGCAGTGCATGTTGTCGCAGAGGAAGTTCGTTTCACCAACGTTGGAGACCATATGCCCGTTGAATCGCCTTCATATAAACGTTGCAGAATGTGTAGCACAAAAGAAAAAGACGAAAGTTATATGAAAGTTATATGTGAAAAATGCAAAGTTCCGCTCTGCATAACACCATGTTTTACTGCATTTCATAGGAAAGGCTAGTTAAGGCGTCACGGGCAGCGGGAAAATATTTACCACCGTGTTTTTTTAAATTTTTGAATTTCTTATTTGCATTTTGTGAAAAACCATAATAAAAATAGTCTAAAACCATCAACAGTTTTACTTATCCACCCCTAGATGCTTATGCCTTATAAAGGGTTAAAAAGGAGTAGGCTCTTTTCTTGACGGTCCCTAAGTCGTATTGATCCGGAAAAATCGCTGATGGTAATCGATTCCACAAGGAAGTCATGCGAGGAAGAAAACATCTTCTAAATCGCACAGTGGTGGACCGCCAATCATCCAGATGGTGTGGATGGTATCGGGAGTTCTGCCGCGATGTGCGTTCGTGAAATTTGGCGGCTGGGATTAATCCGAACAATTGCATGATGATGCAACATCTCTTCGCAGTGCCAATGAATCGAGCCGATCGGAAAGGACTCGGTCGTCAACGATTCGAGCCGCTCTGCGCTGGATGCGGTCAAGTGGAAGGAGCTGGCACTGGGGAGCCCCTGCCCAGAGATGGGTACAGTTATTCCATGTGAGGCAGAACCTGCGCCTTGTTAAGTTGCAGGCGGTGTGCCGGCATGAAATACTGTCCCGCTCTACTGAGCACGGCAAGCAATCACGAAACTGCACGTCACTCGATATGTTGACTCCGAGGATTCCGAATACTGGCTGAGGCAAGAACGGGAGTGCCTTGAAACTGAGGTGATACGACAAAGGGGTTTTTTTTAGCGGTAAACGCTTAAACTTGTGTCTTCCGGGGATTAAACTGGACTAGATTTAGTCGCCCTAATCCGAAACTTTGTTCAGCAAAGACTCGACTTCAGATACAAGTTTGTTCTGGTACTCGGCGATGTTTTCCCGAGAAATATTGGCACGGCCGGTGTATAGAGCATCACCAGTGCTGTCATCCGCATAGCAATGAATGTTACCAGTTAGCAACATATCATTGATATGCAGAAGAAACAGCGTTGGTGATAGCACACAGCCTTGTGGAACACCAGCGTTAATAGGCTTGTAGTCGGAGCATGCACCGTCTACAACGACCATAATGCTTCGATCTGCAAGGAAGCTGGTGATCCAATTGCACAATTTCTCGGGAAGCCCATAGGAAGGGAGCTTCGAAAGAAGAGCTTTGTGCCAAACCCGATCGAAGGCCTTCGCAATGTCCAAACTAACGGCCAACGCCTCCCCCTTGTACTCTACTGACTCCGCCCATCTATGGGTCAGGTAGACCAGAAGATAACCAGCTGATCGACCCCGACGAAAACCGTATTGGCGGTAACTAATCAGCTGGTGATCCTCAAGGTACCGCATGAGCTAGCAGTTAATAATGGAGCGTAAGTGGCACCACACTTCTGATCAACCAATGGTCCGAATATCCGAGAGGGGCATCGACGGAAATATGCCACTAATAAGGTTTTCCTCCTGTATGTATTTTCATATGCTTTTGTAATTCACTTTTTTCCATACATATGTAATTCACAGATATAACAAGAAAAAGGTTTTTCTCCGGTGTATATTTTCATATGCCTTTGCAACATACTGTTTGCAAAACATTTATTTTCTCAAATATTTCATGAAAAAGGTTTATCTGGTGTGTATTTTCTTCATATGCTTTTGCAATTCAAATTTTGTAATACATTTATAATCACAATTATTACACGAAAAAGGTTTTTCTTCCGTATGTAATTTTATATGCCTTTGCAAATAACTTTTTTTACTACATTTATATTCACAGATATTACACGAATAAGGTTTCTCTCCTGTATGAATCTTCATATGTGTTTGCAAATTACTTTTTATAATACATTTATATTTACAGATATGACAAGAAAAAGGTTTTTCTCCAGTGTGTTTTTTAATATGGTATTGCAAAGAATCTTTTTGATTACATTTATATTCGCAAATATTACACGAAAAAGGTTTTTCTCCAGTATGTACTTTTATGTGGGACCTCAACTCAGTTTTCCGTATACATTTATATTCACAGATATGACATGAAAAAGGTTTTTCTCCAGTGTGTGTTTTTATATGTGTTTGCAAATTATGTTTTAAAATACATTTATACTCACAGATATGACAAGAAAAAGGTTTTTCTCCAGTGTGTATTTTTATATGCCTTTGCAAATCTCGTTTTGTAATACATCTATATACACAGATATGACATGAAAAAGGTTTTTCTCCAGTATGTATTTTCATATGTGTTTGCAAAACACTTTTTGTAATACATCTACGTTCACAGATATGACACGAATAAGGTTTTTGTCCAGTATGTATTTTCATATGCTTTTGCAATTTACTTTTTTCAATACACCTATATTCACAGATATGACAAGAAAAAGGTTTTTCCCCGGTATGTATTTTCATATGCCTTTGCAAGCTACCTTTTGTAATACATCTATATACACAGATATGACACGAAAAAGGTTTTTCTCCAGTATGTATTTTCGTATGGCTTTGTAAAGAACTTTTTGTAGTAAATCTACATTCACAGATATGACATGAATAAGATTTTTCTTTGGTATGTATTTTCATATGCTTTTTCAAATTATGTTTCAAAATACATTTATACTCACAAATATGACAAGAAAAAAGTTTTTCTCCAGTATGTATTTTCATATGCCTTTGCAAAGCACTTTTTGTAATACATCTATATCCACAGATATGACACGAATAAGGTTTTTCCCCAGTATGTATTTTCGTATGGCTTTGTAAAGAATTTTTTGTAGTAAATCTACATTCACAGATATGACACGAATAAGGTTTTTCCCCAGTATGTATTTTCATATGCCTTTGGAACTTTCTTTTATCTGTACATTTATAATCACAATTATCACAACAGTACACTTGTTCAGCGACGTGCGCGTTAAGATGTTCCAAAATGCAATGTTTTTGAGATGTTTTAAACTCGCAAATATCACAGCTAAATATATCCGTTACTTGTGGTACTGGAGTATGTTCAACTTGTGTCCGAACTGCATCCGAGTTCTTTTGCGTCTCATGACTGTATGACATGTGGTCGGCGAGAACATCTTTTGTTGAAAATGTTTTGCTACAATCATCATATTCAAAAATGTATTTTGTTGATGCCCCTGACGTTTTTTTCGTAAGTATATTTACATTCTTTCTTTTCAAATTCTTCCTTTTCATAATATTTGCAGGATGCTTTCCTTTTTTTTTAATTGGTTGATTATCTCTTTTTACTTTAGGGCTTGATTTAATAGTAGGGCCTTCAAAATCGAACTTTTCTTTACGTACTACGTTTATGTTAGTATCAGTAGAATTCGATCTAATCTTCTTCACAGACGGCTCTGAAAAATTATTTGTCGGCGTGAATTACTGTTCTGATATAACATGAAGTAAAACATTTATTTATTTTAAGACAATGCATCTTTATTGTAAGCCACCATAAACGGATTGCAATGGGCGGAGTTTATCCCTTAAGGCATTCTCTATCAGTTAACCATTTATGTTGAAACTATAATATTATACATAATTATACTAAATAATGTTGCTAGATATAAATGTGGTAAATAAAATAATGAATTTCAATAAGTATTATATATTGAATAAAAATCATTCTATTCTATTCTATTACTATAAAGAATTTTAGACAATTAGTCCGAATAATGTCTCTCATATTCATTTTTGGAGGGAAAGTATAGTAGAAAAACTAAATTCATATGAATTTTTATTCAATATATATTATAAATAATACCTATTGAAAGTTACTCTTTTATTTAATTACCAGCTTAGTATGTAACACAATTAACAACACAGCAAATTAGAAATAGCTTGGTAGCGATCACCTCATTTCCAGGGGTTATTATCATCCATAAATTCTTTAATATTATAATAACCCTTTTTATACAAACTTAGTTTAATAATGTTTTTGAACTTTGAGCATGTCAAATTTTGTATATTTTCTGGAATTTTGTTGTAAAAGCGTATACATCGCCCCAAGAATGAATTACTAACTCGATGGAGTCGAGTAACTGGTACTACTAGGTTGTGTCTGTTCCTAGTATTTACAGAATGAATATCACTTATTTTTGTAAAACTACTTTTATTTTTGTGTACGTACATTACATTTTCATAAATGTATTGAGAGACCAAAGTTAATATATTAATTTCCTTAAATTTTGACTCTTTAGGCTTTAAATCATAAATTGCTCTTATAAAAGGCCCTCTTCTGTAAAACAAATATAATTTCAGTGTCAGCTGCGTGTCCCCATAGCAAAATACCATATGACATTATGCTATGGAAGTAGCTGAAGTAAACTAGTCTAGCTGTTTTAATACTGGTAAGATGTCTAACCTTTTTTTACAGCATACGCTGCAGAACTAAGTCTGCTTGCTAGTTTTGATATATGGGGGCTCCATTGAAGCTTCGCGTCTAGTGTGATTCCAAGAAAAATGGTGGTATCTACAAGACTCAGTTTCTCCCCATTTAAAATTACATTAGTAGTTAATTGTTTGACATCCGGAGTCATGCATTTCATACATTTCGTTTTAGTGCTATTTAAATGCAAATTATTCACATTGAACCAATTTACTAATTTAGATATAGCATTATTTACTTCGTCATATTTTAGTAATTGTCGTCTTAATTTGAAAATTAAAGAAGTGACATCTGCAAATAATACTATATCATGGTTATCCCCTGCTATGTAAGGTAAGTCATTAATGTATACAAGAAACAGAAAGGGGCCGAGAATTGAGCCTTGAGGCACGCCCATTTGTACCATCGACCCGGAAGAGCTCACACTATTTATGACAACTTTTTACGTTCTGTTACTTAAATATGTTTTTTTTTATAGGATAGGGTGACAACAAACGAGCACACAGTCATGCCTCATTACAAATAAAAAGTCTTCAGTTCTCGACACTAAATATAGGACACAACATCCTTATGTTGCTATCTCACGCTGGTATTTTTTGAGGACGTGCTCTTTTACCGGTCAAGTCGAGCCGTCCAAGCAGTCATAATCACTGCAAGATGCCTCTACCACAAATTAGGTCACCTCTGTCATTTACAGAAATAAAAAAAATAAATGTCACCACGTATTTGGGGATGAATTATAAAGTCTCGAGTCGACGTTAAGAAAACTGGCAAATTCGCTACCGTAGAAAACCATAAGTTCGGTGAAGCGTGGTACTATTTTGATGGTTTGTAAAACAGCCTTCATTATTCAATGCAATATGTAGTTTTGGCGGGAACTTGACCAGCGGCGGTTTGCTGCTCCTGTATTATAGTTTAAATAATAGTTTGAAGTGGATTTTGATATGTAAAAGTGTTAAATAAAACGGCCAAGTGCGAGTCGAACTCGCGCACCGAGGGTTCCGAACAAATCCGTAGGTATATAAGTTTAAAATTATTAAAAATATTTTTATTATATGATGTGACTAAAAATTCATGCTTTTCGCAATTTTTCCTTTATCTGTACTATAATAAGTTTTTCGTACCAAATTTTAAGACGGGAAGTACCCTATAGGTTTTGATTCCCTTGCGAATGTCGAAAATTTGCGGCATAAACGGCTGTATCTTTTGATTGCGTTGGCTTAGAAGTTTGATTTTTTCACAGCTCCAAGGGACAGTAGACCTGAGTATTTGATATGAATTTCAGCTTGATACCTCCACGTGTTCCTGAGAAAAAGGGTCTTGACAAACAGACAGACAACAAAGTGATTCTATAAGGGTTCCGTTTTTTCTTTTTGAGATACGGAACCCTAAAAAAGAAAGAAAGATCTCTTTAACATGATGTATAACATCGTATAGATTGTATTTCTACGTGGTAGAGGCACGCTGCAGCTATATTATAGTTGTAGCACGAATGAGTCGGCTCGACCGGAGACCGGAGCACGCTCTCTCAGCGTCAAAAAGCAGCCTAATGTTACTGTAATGATTTCTTATATTTACGCGAACACTAAACATTTAAATGAAACTAACTTTTACGGATTTTATCGCGTATATTAACTTATTTTAAAACATTTTGACGACCAACAGTCAAGTGTAAAATTCCTCTACAAGATGCAGGAGATCATATGGACTGTGCTCGTCTGTCACCCTTAAAAAAGGTGACATTTAGGTATGTAACTATTAGTTCGGACACCAATCGGATCATTGAGACAGTACATAATACTTTAATGAATCGGATACGATCGTGGTGAAATTCCAAGCCATTCTCCGCGCGCCCCGCTGATGCCCAGGTATTATTAGATAATAAAAGTTAGAAGAGTTTTAGCGGGAGCGAGGTCACAACTCTGTTGCGAGGTCACAACTCTCACCGCCGGCGGAATGTTTTATCGTTTAAATAATAGTTTGAAATGGATTTTGGTACGTAAAAGTAATGCGATTTCGTATTAAAAGTCTGCATGAGAACTTTTTTTTATGAATGAGCAGGCAAACGAGTGTACAGCTCACCTGATGGTAAGTGATCAGTGTCGCCCACGAAAACATCTGCATCACCTGGGGAATTGCAGGTGTATTGCCGGCCTTTTGGAAGACCGATACTTTGTTTAATAAACTAGATTTTACATTCAAGTATGTCCCGGCACTTGACGACGTGTTACAGAGAAATATTAGCACGGCCGGTGAATAAAGCATCGCCAGTGTTGTCATCTGCATAACAATGAAATGTTATCAGTATGCAACATATCATTAATATGCAGAAGGAACAGAGTAGACGATAGCACGCAGCCTTGTGGAAAACTAGCATTCACAGGCTTGTAGTCGGAACATGCACCGTCGACTACTACCTTAATACTCCGATTTGTAAGAAAACTGGAGACCCAACTGCATAATTTCTCGTGAAGCTCATAAGTGGGAAGCTTCGAAAGAAGCGCTTTGTGCCAAACTTGATCGCAGGCCTTCGCTATGTCCAAACCAAACGCCAAGGCCTCCCCTTGATCTCGCCTGCCTCCACTCTATCTATCGGTGACTTAGCTAGACAAGATCACCAGCTGAGCGACCTTGACAGAATCCGTATTGGCGGTCACTAATCAACTTATGCTCTTCAAGGTACCGTATGAGCTGGCAGTTAATAATAGATTCCATTATTTTGGAGAACAAGGAGGTGATGGCGATAGGCCTATATTTGGTTGGCTTCGAACGGTCACCTTTTTTAGGGATCGGGTGCAATAAGACATGAGCTTAGAACGACGCCTAAAGAGTAAGACAATATGACATAAACATAAAAATAACATGAATATAACACAACATTATAACTTTCTAATACAGTTGCTCAAAAAGTGGCGTATTGTAGGGACGTATAGCGTTCGGTATGTGGGCTATTACATACTCGAGCTTTTTCTTTACCTTTTCCGAACTCGTACGTTCTCTTCCTCAACTGTCAAAATAATGTCTATTAAAAAGAAAAAACCAACCACGAAGTTTTTACTAAAAAAACTTCTATTAATTTTTTATGATTCATGCAAATATTTCTAAAAGGAAGCTACTAATTTGTTACAATATCAGATTTAATGATTTGATTCAATGAGTTAGGTTAGGTTTCATTTCATTTCATCTCATTATTAAATTTTATTTTCATTTCATATCAATAAAAAAATTCTACTGAAGACTTAGCTGTATGGGCATAGTTCCCTTTGCCTACCCAGAATGGGTGAAGAAAACAAAAAAAAATCTCTGCTTACATGGCTTATATTCTTTTACGGTTGGCACCATTTTCCAAAAATGTTCTTTACTAAATTGCTTCATTTTTTCGCAACTGTATTAAAAATAGTTGTGCAGTACACGTGCGGAACCGTCATTGCAACTTGTTCCGACTGTCAACCCTCACCTTCGGCTGCGCCTCGGTTCGGGTAGACATTTGTCGGAACTCTTTGCAATGACAGGATTTCCGCATTCGTAATGAAATGTACTATTGTAATGTTATTTTAAACTGTAAAAAAAATAAATAAACTATAGCTTTAAGTTTTTCTTTGCAACGCACACAGATAGGATCGATCGCCAAGAGACCGATTCCTACATATCACTTGCTTAGTGTTTTTGTGGAAAATTTTTTGATAACATCCTAAGAAAGATAAATGTTAACGCTCAGATCCGATCTAAAGAACAAAATCCATAGACACAAAAAAGTAAATTGACAGTCAGCATATTTAATGTGTTAATTGAAACAGCTGATATCTTTAACCTCGTTGCTGTGAGTTTGAGGAAGGGCTGAGTTAAATTACAAATATTAACCTAAAATTAATTAAGCTAAAAATCTGTGAGTTCTTGCAGTTTTATGTCATTTATCGTCGTCGATGGCTGCTCATCCGATACCGTGGCGACTAACGCCGATATTCGTCAGGGGTCCGTTCTCTCCGCAAATCTCTTCCTGCTGCATATAAATGATCTGCTCATTCCCGGTATCTATGGGTATGCAGACGACAGCACAGTTGTGGAGAGATACCAACCAAGCGCCCGGGCAGTCGGGATCAAATCCAGTCAGAAAGAGAGGCTATGGTTGAGCGTGTGAATCTCACACTACAGGCAGTCTCCAGAATGGGAGTTCTCTTGTGGAAATGGGAAATTTCTTGATAGAAAATTCCAATAACTGATTTTAGGCCAAGCCAGGAGCTCATGACTAGCAGTCGTGCTTACGACAACTTTCTCAGACATGTTAATAGCCCTACCAACTATTCAGTGAATCCCCGTTCCTGTTTTATCTCAATAACACCTTGGGTCACCACTAGCGAATTCAGTTCCTACATGAAACAAGACAATTGTATGGCCTACAACCATTGAGTTATATGTACTACGTACTAGAGAAGCTATTCCAAACAAAAATTGTGACCTACTCTATGTATTCGCGCATGCGCGGGAGTAGTAGTCGCGCATGCGCGAAGACTTTAATTTGATGTAAAATAAGGTATTAATATAAAATAAATATAAGAATTTAATATAAAATATTTTAATTTCATCTAAAGAAACATATTTCTAAATAAAATGTAATAATAATTATTTTATGGAATTCACAAATCTTCAATTTACGCAAAATTTAGTTTGTATGGATTGCACTACAGTTCAGTTGAACATAGTCAATGTTCGGAATGGCTTCTCCAGTACGTAGTACATATAACTCAATGCCTACAAATAATCATTTTGGATCTCATGTACGTTTGTGTGTAATTAAAGAACAAATTTTTGTATGTACAGTACATCTACAAATAAGTTTTTTTAAATAAATTCTTTTACCTGTGTCATCATTACAGTTTTTAATATTTTTGCGCTTCTTTTTCAATTGTGCAGTATTAGATTGCTCGTTACTCTTTGAACCAAATGCAAGTAGTGGCAAGTCGTCCTCCAAATCCGTATGTACATCTTCAAAAGCATCAATCTCCAAGTCTTCTTGTTTTTCAGCAGTCTCTACAATGAAACAGATTCTGACTGAATATATAAAATAAAAACTGATATTTTTTTCCATGCGGCTAGATCATTATAGTCCAACACACAGCTTATGCGCCTGAGCCACCCACCTTCATTACCATACTGTATGTTTATTTATTTATTTAACAATTTATGTACACACAAAATAATGTTACAAGGAAGAAAAAAAAAGATATTTTGTACAAAGGCACTGCTTATTTCATATTGAAATTTCTTCCAGTAGGCCTGATACTGGACAAATTAAAAGAGAAGCTGATCTAGTGTGCACACTCATAATAAAATTTTATAATATTAATATACTTAACATAAAGTAAAGATAATAAAAACAAATATCCATGTAAACATACACATAACTAAATACCACTATAAATACATATACACATATATATATACATATATAAATATAATAGTATATTATATATATAATCATTGGGACGACAAAGAAAGATAGTGCTCTTTGACTCGCCTTTTGAACACGGACACTGATTGAGCCTCTCGAATTGCAGCAGGAAGAGAATTCCATAACCTAACTGCATGTACTGTAAAAAAGTGAGAATAGGACTTAGTTTTAGAGGAAGGGAAATTTAGGAGGGTTTTTAAATGTGATCTGCAAACTGCATCGGGGGAGTGCGCAAAGTGGAATCGATCACGTAGATAGGGTGGTGATGTTTCATAAGCAAAGTGTAATAAGCTGAAGTGGCAATGTGCCGACAAACTGAAAACCGATGGGGCGGAAAGGTTCTCGAGTGGCAGCCTCGTACCAGTAGCCGAAGTGTAGGGCGGCCCCCACTAGATGGAGTGACGACCTGGTAAGACATACAGGAAGTCGATGGATGCAGGTGGCTCAGGACCGTGCTTTGTGGCATTCCTTGGGGGAGGCCTATGTTCAGCAGTGGACTTATGAAAGGCTGTAATGATGATGACCATTCAATCATCACATTTAGTGAGTGTTCTGCCACAACTTGTTTTAGTGAGTGCTTGCGAGTACAAAGATGTCCTGAGCACTTTGTCTCCCGTATTTTTTTTAAATATGAAGTGTCAAAGAAACTAACAGTCCACCTTACGATATGTAGCCGATCCACCTGATGGTAAGTGGGTAGTGCAGTCCACGGACTGCCCGCAGCTAACTTTAAACATATAATTAAAAATTAAAAACTTTGTACAATCGACTTCAATATAAATTATTAAGAACTAGCTGTTCCCCGTGGCTTCGCCCGCGTGTAATTTAGGGTTTCAATTTTTTTTTTGTGAGGAACCCTAATTATTTTTTTTAAATAAAAGTATCATAGTTAGTCCTTATGACATCAGCTATCTGCCAGTGATAGTCTCGTGATAGTCGCGTCCGGAACAAACAGACAGACAGACAATTTTTTTTTAAATTATTTATTTTTTATAAGTACCGTATAGACTTTCATATGCATTGAGTAAAAAGCTGTTATTTTGACATTACAAACAGACACTTCAATTTTATTTATTTGTATAGATAACTCAAAAACTATTGGTCAAACCTTGATCAAATTTATATGGGACCACATGTGAAGATTCAAATAAAAAAAGAATCATCGAAATCGGTTCACCCAGAAACAAGTTATGAGGTAATACACATAAAAAAAAGAAAAAAAAAAGAACATACAGTCGAATTGAATACCGTCTCCTTTTTGTAGTCGGTAGAAAAGGCTCCTATGCACTGTCACCTCTGACGACTACGATGGAATGACCCACAGCCTGTGATTATACTGACTCTATACCCATCAGAATTGAACACAGCAGTGCACGCACTGCTATTTGACGGTAGAAATAGGTAAGAGGAGGAGGGAGAAGCCCATCTGGGCAGACACAAATAGATCAACTCCTACGCAAAAATGGGGTCCCTCCTGGTGGAGGGACCCCATTTTTGCTTATCAGTTGTAAGTATATCATTAATGAATAGAAATAGAAATTAATATTAGTAATAATAATAACATCTTAGTGACATACATACTGGCGGCATTTATACAGAATCAAAATATTTGTAAATATATTTATACATAAGTAAAAGCAAATGTCTAACAAATCTCATTATGATGTACATGCATGCTAATCTTTTAAATAATTATTTAACTTCTTATTTTCTTTCTCCATGAGAGTATGTTTTACATGCACTTTGAATTTAGGCAAAGGCAAACCAATAAATTGCATATGAAGTACATGCATATGAAGCCCTCTTTATTTTGTGTTGTTGTAACTTATTTTAATAATATCACAAAATTGTATATCTTACCTGTTTCATGATTCATATTATCTTCAAATGTGGAATTCTCATTTTCGAAATTCTCTATCTCTACTTTAACGGAATCAAGGCTAAAAATTTCGTCCTTACAATCATTTTCTATATCACACTCTACTGGCCAGATATCTATATGACAAATTGGTGTGAATTGAATCTCATCTTTAGCCTCATGCGGTTTTGGTGTGGACTGAAACCAAATCCTTTTTTTAAATAAGAGAAAAGGCCAGTATAGTTATGGCATAGGAGAATCCATACTACGCCATACCATCTGATAGATGTTGTAAACAGGAGATGGGCAGCATCTTCCTGACAACAACTCCAACTAATATTAAAAACTGGACAAAAGTAAAGGTTCCGAATAAACATAAATAAAAATGTAGGCAGTTCAACCATCCGAGAATAGTCTCAACAATTTTCCGAATCAGATTCAAAAATGTACAGCATAATTATATTTGTGAAAATAAGTACTTAACTTGCTGAAATTCATAAAATATAGAACATCGCTCTAACGAAAAAGTAAGCTGGATAAAATTAACTTTGTAGTAGAAAATACATTCTCCTATATGGCAACAGGAAGCAGCATAGAAGGAGCGAGACAGGTAGTGACCGTCAAGGTGCCTGCCAAGTGATGATTAAGGCAAATACTTCATTATAATGATAATGACTCATCACGCTGTGAACTTTTATTAATAAGAAGTGTAATACTGTGGACAGTGTAGTCGCCATGTAAGATTATCCACTACCCTATATATCTATCCACGGGATGGGTGTTATAAGAGGTCACAGAGGGAAACGGAAACAGGAGTTGGAAAGCATCTTCCTGATAATAACTCAGATTAATATAAACTGCAGTTGCCAACTTGCCAAGCGTGGCAAATTTGGCAGAATTCCCCCCAATGAGGCAATCTATGAGGGAGGTCTATGTTCAGCAGTGTACTTTTATGGGGTTTAATGGATGAAATGGATAATACCGTGGACGCTCCTGCAAGCAACCGCTCCAGAACAGCATTCGACGCAATAGCCTGTTGTTGTAATCTTTTGCAACGAAGGAGTTTTGCATGACATATGAAACAAACAATTATGGGCCCCTCATTCTCATCCATCTGAAAAGATGAAAGTTTGTAATAAATATACATTCCTTAACAGTTTTAACCTTTTTGATTTAATATGAACTGCAGTATGAAGTAAATTCCAGATGATTTTGTAAATCTAACAATTAGATCATTTTATGTCACATGATACGGGCAGCAGCATTTTCCTCATAACAGGTCAAAATAATAGTGAACCATAAATCCAATAAAATTTGATACTTTATTTCCGATGCACATTTTGGCAGTAACAAATGGATTTTATCAAAATAAATGCTTTAATTGCGTCTGGTGTTCAAAGTAGATAAACTTTGTCTTTTAAACTATGTAATTTGGTCAAATATTTTAAAAGTAACAACAATATAAAATTGTCTGGTTCGGCACGCACAGGGCGGTCTGGCGTACTGCGGGCGAGGTGGGGGAAGACATCGCTCATCGCTGCGTGAGCAAATGTACCTCTTCACGCTTAAGGCCGGCCACATACATACGGAATCCCGTTTTGCTCGCAAAATTTCGAACGGAAAACTACCGTACGTGTGTGACGGGTCATAGATTTTATTTGCTGCGTTCGGAATCCCGAAACGGAATTCCGTATGTATGTGGCGGGCCTAAACCACTGAACTGAGTTTTGATGAAATTTGGTATCGAGATAGTTTAAGTCCCGGAGAATGAAATAGGATAGCTTTGATCATGGAAATCATCCCTAAAGAGGGTGATAGAATTCATACTAAGAAAGTACGATTATTGATGAAGCACCTATGGTTTGAAGTACATATATAATATCAACGCGGACTAAAGCTAGTTTATATATTATAATAAAACATATTTTCAACTATTTTGCAGTATACATTCCAAATTATATTGAGTTACTGGAAAAGATTTAACATAAATATACACCTACCCTACTTTTTCTGAGCGTGGGTGCTCAGGCCCGCGTATTCTGGGGGGGGGGGGCAAAATTCCGCTCAAGACGATACCTGCTCGGGGCGTAAATTTCTGCAATATCAGGGCACTTCATTCAAACCTTAACTCCGTCCACTTCCATCTGGAGACAGCAAAGCCTGCCTTGCACTTTCTAACCGAGACACACGTGTCCTCTCCGGCTGATACTTCGTATCTCTCCTACCCGGGGTACAAATTAGAACACTGCTTTGTGTCCGGGCTAGAGTTTGCGTGTACGTCAGAGAAGACATCTGTTTTCGACGCCTCGGCAGTCTTAAAGGTACGGACCTGTCCATCCTATGGCTGCGCGTAGACAGCGACGACCATCCCCGCGTCTACGGGTGCCTCTATAGGTCCCATAGCGGTAATGCCGACACAGATGGACTCATCGACTATGTCCAAATGGCTGCCGACTCCGTGTTACAACAGATCCCATCCCACAGAAATCGTGATGCTTGGTGATTTTATGCCTTGGTTCCCGTTTAACCGATCATGCGGGTAGATCTGTTTATGACTTTGCTAGCGTATGGTGTGAACACAACTGGTTACTTCGTCTACACGGATCCCAGATGTGGAGGATCATGTACCTACCCTGTTGGACCTTCTACTGACCTCTCATCCGGACGGCTATCAGGTCTTTCCAGATCAACCTCTTATACTTATTAATCAATTAAACTTTCAAAATACCATAGCAACGTGAAATGAAAAAGTTCAGAAATAAAGATGTAACTAATCATTGTTACGCTCACCCGGGAGATAGATAAAAGTACTCAATTAATTTTGAATTTATTTTAGCTACTAGCTGTTCCCCGCGACATAAGTGCCCCGCTTGTAAGTTAGGGTTTTAATTTTGTTGCACGGCAACCTAATAATTTTTCTAAAATATTATAACTTATAACATGAGCTATCTAGTACTAGTAATACTAGTGAAAGTCCCGTCAAAATCAGTCCAGCCGGATTAACCGAATAGCCGATTAACCGGAACAAACAGACAGACAGACAGACAAAAATGTTAAAAATTGTGTTACTGTTATAAGTACCGTATACAATTTCATATGCAATTAGTAAAAAGCTGTTATTTTGACATCACAAACAGACACTTCAATTTTATTTATTTGTACAGATATAGATAATGATTGACCTAACCTAACCTCGCTTATAGAAGCTTTCAATACTGGCTTCTCAGTTCTCACTGGACTAGGGGTTATGCGTCGTTTGCGCGTCAAGCCAAGTATTGAATTATTTTAATTTTACATTATCTCTTAAACAATGTACTATATAAACACGGTATAAAGAACGAAGTTTATCTTCATAAAATTGTCTTGATGATGAAGTAACTTTCGTTCGTAATGATAAATATGCCTAATAATTAAATTTTCAATTTTAATTATCACAAAATGCCTAATTGTGGCTTATATATAAAAAATAGACATATGCTATCGCAGACATTTTTTAAACGGAGTAAAGATATATATTTTTCTAGAACATTGTATTTACGTATCCCGAACCATAACACCAGCGTACGCGGTTAAATAATTTTGGGAGCGCTTTTTCTTCTGACTTGCTTAACAAATATAGCCTAATACTAGATAGCCTATACTATTCCACATGAATTTGGCTAAAATATCCAAAAAGATTTTTCAAATCGGACTGGTAGTTCCAGAGATTAGCACGTTTAAAGAAACAAAAAAACTCTTCCGCTTTATTATATTAAGTATAGATGTTGCATCGTGTTCGTGTAACTTCGTTTTTGTTCGAACGGTTCGGAACGAACAAGACGTGCGTGAATACTAATGTCTATATGCTCATCACTAATACTATCTCCGTCGGGCACGATGCCAGGTGAGACTGCGTGCTTTTTGGCCACGCCCACCAGTGAGTTTGAGCCCGCAACTTGTGCCACCTTAAGAGCAGATCGAATAAACAAATAAAAGAGAACAACCACAGTTTTGAAACTGGTTTTTAGCAGACTGGCAGTTGTTTCAAAATCTACCACTTTAATGGTCTGATAGAACAGCTTTAAGTGAGTGAAAGACTAAACCAGGATGGATGTTAATTTCTTAACAGAAAATAGCAATAATACTCAGTAATATGTACTAGAACTGACACCGCGAAAAAATCTATGCAGCACTGCGAGTCGTGAGTAAAGAGGTACAAGATTCCTTTTATCTTTTTCTTCTTTTCCTTTTTGTGGCAGTTTGGTACAACTCGCCAATGATGTATTGGGTGGAAGATGAAAGCTTATGAGTTTAATTAAAATAAGAGTCTGGGATAATACAATGATTTAGTTTTCCTGCTAGAATTTTGAAAAATCTATCTGTTGCATTACCTAGACCAAATGACAAACACTTGTATTAGAATCTTATTAGTATGTTAAAAGTGACAAGAATATAAAGTTTCATGTTATTATTAGTATTATTAAAATCACATAAAATATACACAAAAGGAGTACTTGTATACGGTAAAAGAGAATTAAAATCTATAGGTCGAGGAATATAAGGAGGAAGGTAATCATAAAAGGAGGAGGATAGTTTGGGACAGTTGAAAATACTATGCTTTGTGGAACCTTCATCTAAGCCACATTCACACAATGAGCTATCCCTAACTCTGATTTTGACCAGACGTATATGTGTACAAGCATGTCCAATTCTCAATCTACAGTTGATTGAGGTTACATGTTTATTTGCTTTGTTACATTTAAAAAACCAAGGCTTGGGAGGAATAACCTCTTGGATGGCAGCATAGTGCTTACCCTTAACATTTTTGGATGCTTCCCACAATTTATTTGAATTTTCATTCAGTTTCCTTTTAGCTAGCAAAATTAGGTCATGTGAGTAAATTAAATTTTGTAGAATGCCATTAGCAATTGCATTTTTAGCGAGTACATCAGCTGTTTTGTTTCCATAGATACCACTGTGGCTAGGGATCCAGGCTACTGAAATATGGATTCCTTTAAGATGGCATCTGAATAGGGTATTTTTTATTTTGAGAATTTGTGGAAAGGACATTGCTAAAACTCGTCTAAGAACCAACATATATTTGACAATTACCAAAATTCTTATCCTTAATTATGCATTAGATAACGTTCATTAGATAGTAACGGGCACTTCTGAATTGTGAAATCAAAATAAAAAGGACTTTTTCGATTTTGAACTTTGTACCTATTTAGAAATACTAATGTGCTGTGTTTATGGCCTGCTGTGATTTGGCCAACTGCACAATACCTTCATTCACATACTTCAAAAGTTGTCATAAACTCAAATATACTATGAAAACGTTTATAATTTAAAATATATCTCAGATTAATATATGCCACAAGGAACTGGGGTACAGTGAAATCAAATGTTTTCATTTAAAATCACAATACTATTATACTCTCATTGGCAAATAAGCATTGTGCCACGCAAAAAAAAAGGTAATAACGTTGACAGATAACAACACGTCGATATAGATAGACATCAGACGTACAATCGTTTTGGTTTCGTTTGAAAAAATACATTTCTGCAAATGTTTTTGGAATCTAAATCTAAGTGCACTGTGCAGTTGGCTTGTTATGTTATAAGTTTTAATAAATTACGACTCTGCTTGAACAACGGATATCGATACTCTTTTTTAGCGACCTACCTGACTTGAATCACGGACTTTAACCAACTGAGACTGTACAAGTTGTATTTATTTCGTATGAATAAAATAAATACCTAATCACAACCAGAGTTTTATTCACCATATAAATGCTAGGCTAAGACTAAACTCTTATAATAACATAGTAATGTTTCATAAAATTAAAACATAACCTCAAAATCTCTATGATAACTGCTAATATCTAAATAAGTGTCCATCAGGTGTTATTGTTCTTACATACAATTATGTGTAATTTTGGACAAGAGCACAGACTCAGTAAATTTGAGCCGTGGGCTCTAAAGCCACGTATCCACCGAAAATGTTGACAACATTTATGTTTCCAACTATTTGCAACACAACAAAAGTTACCAACTTTTGTTCTAATGTTTTCGCACCGAATTGAAAGGCTTTCAAAAAAAAAGGGTTGGCTGATTAAAATCACTTGATTTTGATTAAAAAATCATTGATTTAAATGAACATGTATTAACTAATGTAATAAGCAGAAAATGAAATAAAACTGGCTTAAAATAAGGTGAAATCTTTAATTGTTTTATGTTATTCTTATTATTCAACTACAATAGTCTCATAAACTTTGGAAAATCAACAAAGACGTAGCGATGAGGTCTGTCAGTCTCATAATCTTAGTAAAATCAACCAAAAATTTTGTTTAGAAATTCACCCTTAAGATATGAACTGTAATTAATACAGTATTAATTATTTTACTCTTAATCAGTCTCATATGTATTTATAAACTTTTAATCCTACTATATCAAAAAGTATTACCAACTCGTGAATTTCAAAATATACAAAAAAATAAACAAAAAATTCAAAAAAATCTACATGATTTGATTCAAATTAAAAAAATCATGATTTTTCCATCCCTGGATCTTTACCTTGTTGATTGATTTGATCTCAAATTGTTGGCAACATGTTTCAATTTGAAACATGTCACCAACAATTTGAGAAACATTATAGTACAACTTGCGGTCTGCACCAAAGTTTTATTAGCAACAATATGTCTTCAAGTGACGATATTATGCAGGCAGCCGTAGTATTTATAATTTTATGCAAAAAACACCAGTAGTTTTGGAGTTATCCTTAATAATGAGTATTAATATTGAAGTCGGTTATAGGCAAAATTTTTAATTTCATTAGATGTCTCCTTACCTCTCTTTTTAAAAACGTTACCTCCACACTAGGATTTGATCCTGTATAGCAGGGACAGTTTACATACATAGAACAGACCTAGAACAATTATTTGTAGGCCATACAAATACTTCTTCCATCCGGGATACGAACCTACAGGTCTTAGTGCTGCAACTCATTACTAAACCACTGCGCCACAGAGCCTTCACTTGTCTGTTTCACATTTTTTGCTATTTACAAACATGCGACACACAACTTTGTTATTAACGAAAGAGTGGCAATGAGAAGTATTAAACTAATAACCAGTACATGCTGATCTTGCATTAGTAGGCAGTCACTAGTACTGGGAGGTCTACTTACACTGAAATTTTTTTAAGGTCATTGGCATTATATGCGAAAAAATCGAAAAATCAATTAATAAATCTGTAACTATTGTGACAGTAACTAAGTAACTAATAATCTAGATATACCTATAAATAATAATATAATTTTTATTACACACATCCCATAATATATTTTATGAAGGATATAAATTAATTAATGTGTCTATTAACTCGTTCGTCCACGTGACAAACATGTTGCCGGCAAATGTTTCCAAAAAGCTTCTCCACAGAGGGATCAAATGTTTGCAACAAGCGTATTCCTTTGATGTTGCCGCCGAAAATGGAAATTGGAAACACGGTTCCCGACACTGTATACAAGTTTTGTTGCCAACACTAGGTAATTACAGATTTGTTAGCAAAATCAGGGACGTTTTGAAAAAAAGCCAGGTCAAGAGCACCCTTAACCGTAGAGCATGTATGAAGAGAATAATGAAAGTGGACGAAGCGAAACAAGTATGTAAGGATCGTAGCAAGTGGAAAGAAGTGGTCTCTGCCTACCCCTACGGGAAAGAGGCGTGATTATATTATGTATGTATGTATGTTAGCAACATGTGTTGACAACACAAAAGTTGGTAACAAAACTTTGGTGGAGACGCGGCTTAACGCGTATTGCAAACAACAAGTATCTGTGTCACTTCTAGTATTTTGTAGGTTTTCAGGTTCTGGTTGTATTTGCCACTATATTTAACCTTTACAGTTACCATAGCCTAGCCCCGATCAATTACATTACAAGTTATAAGGTATTTCTCTGGCGAAAACAACAAATTAGCTCAACTTCAATTTTTAATAAGAAATATAAACATACTTACAAAACTGTACGTCAATGTTTTGTACAAATTTTGGAGACCATTCTTCTTTAGTACAATCATGCGTTTATTAACGCTTAAACAAATTCTACAAACTTCACTAAAGGCCATTCTTGTTTCCTATAGCTTTAACATATAATATAATTGAAATGAATCTGTGAAGAATTCAGTAAATTGCAGTAAATCAAAGAGTATAATAATTAATAACTGTCCTATACAGGATGCAGTGCAGTGCAGGGCCCCCGCCTAAGGTGTTCTGTGGTGCAGTGCAGTAAATAGCTAAATAGTAAATAAACGTAGTGATTATATTCTCTTTGGTAAATACATGAGAGAGAGAGAGGCAGAGACAAAGAGTATTTTTTTAATTGCAGCCTTATGCCTTATAAGCATGGGCGTTATCAGTTTTAAGCTGCTGCAACGATATAAACGATATTTAGTTTTCCTATCGTTATTGAAAACCGTTTTCAAATATCGATATCAGTAGTAATGGTTTTTTTTTTCATTTATTTGGATCAACAAACAGTTTCACAATAATAATTTTACAAATAATATACATACACATCATAATGGAATAATTGTGAAACCAACACCGTTAACCACAAGTTATTAAATAAAAAATTACAGTGTTTTTGCTAAAAGTTAGTATTTTTTATAAATAAGTTGGCTATGGATTTAATTCAATCAAATTGTGTGGTGTTTGAATTCACGCAACAGATTAAAGAAAACTGATTTTCTAAATGAAGTAACATTCGTTGCAAATATATCTAGGGTAGTGAAATAGCTGTTATAAGCTTCAGTCATTCGAGTAAATGGTGAACGTTTCCCAGCATTCGTTCGAGACTTAGGTGTAGCAAATAGTTTATATGTACGGCATGCTCGAGTATGATCTGACTGGTACTATAAAACATAACTTATCCACTATATCAATACAATCGTACTTATTATTACAAAGGTCGTACAATAGATTAACTTGTAATTGTAACCTTCTAGTTTTTAGATTAAATAATTTGTATTGTAACAATTTTGAGTAAGACAATTTACTATGAGAACCTTTAAAATGTATGCATGGGAGGAAGTTCTTTTGCACTCTTTCAAGACGGTCTGAGTATTTTTTGTAAAAGGGATACCACACTGAGATGGCATATTATAACCGAAATATAACCGCAAATTGTAGAACCAATGCAACATTTATTTTACGAATTATTTAGACTATTTAAATTTAGAAGTCAGAGGCTCTTCGACGTTAATGTATGATTTATGAAAATTAATTGTTATGCAGTTTTATTACCCCTTTTTTTCTGTGAGTCGTAGGATCAGAGCTTGATTTCAAAGTCTATAATTAAAGTGTATTTATATAAAATAAACATAATTTATATAATATATGCAATTTTTTTACGTAGTTTATTTATTAATGATTATTTAAATTGGTGATTGTCCTTCATGCTTAACTAGGATTAAAAGCTTTAAATTCACATTCTACAACATACAATATAGACAACGCTCATTGCAAAATAAAGAAAGGAAATATAACGTAGTAGATACAAGAGGTACTTACATAAAAAATAAAAATAAAACTTTTCTGGCGCATTTAAAAATCACCGTATTAACAAATGATTACACAAGGCGTAAAAATATTTACAGAAGTATTCTCATTGTTTTTCCTTTTAAATTATTTCTTTTTTATTTATCACATCATTTTTATCAAGATTTTCATAATTAATAATAATTTCCTTAAGAGGATTGTGAAGCTGTAAATTTTCATACAAAAAGCGATAACCTTTTCCCCCCCGTAAATATAATCCAATTTTAATAATTTTTGGAAATGTTGTAGATATGTTAAAAAACTAGGCCCATACGTTTTTATTTTAAAGAAATATTGTATACAATATAAGTTATTAGCATCTAAATATCTATATTTTTGACTTAAAAACTTCTTCGTACTGAATCTAATAAGATCAAAATTGTCTTATTTTGTAAAGTTTTAGGGGGTAAAAACGTTATCGCCGGAAACAATATTTCAGAAAGAAAATGTAGGCAATTGCCTTCAAGACTTGCAACTCTCTCTATCGCACGATACGGGTCGGGGGGCAGGGGCATATTGTAGTGATGTTAGAGGTGTTGGAGCCGTGGTAGCTCAGATGGTTAGCACTCGATATAAATTTCACAGTACTATTTACAGGTACCCGAGAAACCCGGGTTCGATCCCCGCCGGCACCAATGAAATTGTTAATTGCTATATTAAGTGCTGATTTACCACGTGCTCGGCGGTGAAGGAAAACATCGTGAGGAAACCTGCATGTCTGACAAATAAGAAAAAAAAATATTTCGAAGACATGTGAAGTTCGCCAACACGCATTGAGGCAGCACGGCGGACCTTTCCTTGCCCTAAAGCCCAGCAGTGGGACGTGTATATAGGCTGTAACTTTTAGAGGTGTTATCGATATTATTATCGCCTAGGGAGGAGAAAATAATATTGATAACCTAGAAAGATAATACCTCTCATGAAAAAGTTAATGTCTGTGATTATTCAGTGTTTATCGATTATTTAATTATTAATTTAGCCTTTATTGAATAAGGACATTAAATTAAAAATATTTCGAGTTTACAATAAAGTAGGTAGGCAAATAAATAAAGTAACAACTTGAAGAAATTATCATTGTTTATTATTACATATTACTTAATTACACTCTTTCTCGAAGTGCCATTTCTCTAGGAACTCGAGGGTCAATCATTTCTGGTAATAAACATTAAAAATGAAATGAGTAAAGTCTTGGCTGCATTTTTGCTGCCCAAAAGTGATCATAGTATTTATTTTTTTCCTACGCCGAACCACATGGTTTATTAAATTAAGTACGAAAACATGAAAAAGTGATGTCCACACTACGAAAAAACAAAATTGCCTACCAGTGATATGTAATTATCCCTGGACCTGATAATAGTAATCATGGTTTCTTTTTTCTTTTTGTCCTTCTCGTATCAAACAAACTTTGATCTGTTTTTAGTTATGACCTCCAAATGTAGCATATTAGAATCAGAAATAAAATATTTTCATTTAGAGAATCACGTCCAATAAGCCCATCGGGAGTTGTATATATATATATATATATATATATATATATATATATATATATATATATATATATATATATATATATATATTTACATGACTTATTATTATTGTATTCTTTTTGGTTCTCTTTGTCCACATTACTGTCTGGTAATTATTTGTCTATCTCGGAGTCACTGAAAAATAAATAAAAGCATAATAGTTTAAATTATATAGTTCAGTTCATCGTTTAAATTTCTGTGAGAGCGTAGTCGTTTCCCGGTCGAGCCGACCCACTCGTGCTACAACTATACTACTAATATTTTTTTTTATAGGATAAGGGTGACAAACGAGCACACAGTCCACCTGATGGTAAGTGGTTGCTGCGGCCCATAGACATCTACATCTATCCTCGTTTGCGAATCAAAATGCAGATGCGTTGTCACCCGTGAGGACTAAGATGGAATGCCTCATTTTCAGTAAAAAGGGCCTCCGGCCACCTGCACTCACCAAGCGAAACGCAGAGGTAAACCTCTACTTCACGCTGGTATTCTGTGAGGTCGTGGTACCACCCCGGTTCGTGCCGGCCCATCCGTGCGAGAGCAAATGCTGGCGCGTGGCTCTACCACGTATAGAAATTTTACTAATCAAATCTTTGTATCTCGAAAATTTTAGCAATTTCCTTGGAATCATCGGAATTCCACAGTAACAGTGATACGAACAACTTGTAACGGACTAATATTATTACTGGACAAGTGGTAACATTAAAAATTTTGTACAACCGATTTCAATAAAACTTAATTACAACATAATATATGTAATGGTTGAAATGATTTCCATAAAATTTGTATGAGACCAACTGTGAACAAGAAAAGAATATTCAAAGTCCGGAGAAATCGGTGAACATACATAAAAATAAAACAAATATACATACAGCCGAATATAGAACCCCCTCCGTTTTTGAAATCAAATCAACATCAGCTATCCCATACTTTTATATTTTGTGGAATAAATTTCGGTCTATCTCCTACCAGTCAACCAATGTACATACAATAGTATGTAAGGTGGTGAGGTACGCGACCAAAGTAAGTATAACTTATTATAAGTAAGTAAGTAAGTACGCCTATTTACCTGTTGAGCAGAGCACAGAGCTGATTTTAGAAAATTTTAGAAGTGTGTTGCCCGTCCGTTCGATTTACGAAGCAAATTGCATTTTTATAGTTTTGCCTCTAATCTTTCTCTTCTATTCTAAAATGTATAAAATTATTTTAGTTGAATGAATGTAATACTCATCTCATAATCACTCACATAGTATATAGGTAGATACTTACATAAAAAAATAACAGCCCACTTCTATAAGGTATATGTAGTAAGTCCCCACGTCTACATAGACTATGCAATATAATAAAATTGCAAAGTAACACAAACAAATTCATTATGTAACTTGTCGTAAATGTACGCAAATATAGGCTATGAATGAATGAACGCTCGTGCTGCTGGTATCCGTAGTGTGCGTGAGAATTAGTGTAATATGTTGTATTTGTGTTGTTCACGCCCGGAGCCCAGCGGGAGGCAGAGCGTGCGTTATGAAACAGATAGCATTTTTGAAAATACCAACTCGCGTCACGTGTCGGCACTTCACAATCCTCTTAACTTTGTGGTGCTTGAGACGATATACATTTTTCGTTAATGATCAACCCTATTTAAAATATTAAAAGAGTCTAAATCAGTTTAAACTACTATATTTTCACTATACAGATAATTGTCTGAATTAAAACTAATGTACAAAACGCACATAAATATATTGCAAATAAATGCACAAACGCAACGTCAAAAAATTATAATTTTACACATAATATCTTAGTTAATGGCACGCGCCACCAAGGTCAAGTGCGTTATTGTTGCGTTTTGAAAAAAAATCAAATTATAAACTTACCATCCAAAACATAACAAATAGTTGCTTATATAATATGGTCATACAAATCTAAGTCTTGTGTGTAATGTTCTAAAGATCATTTAAATTTGACAACTATCACAACTACACCAACTTAAAAATTAGGTAATTTTAACCATTTAAAATTCGACCTTATTCTACTTGGTAATTAATTATATTTCACTATGTGCACAGTTGTGTGATAAGTACCAAAACATCGGAATGAAATCTATATTCGTTTCATCTCTTTCATACTGATATGATATTTCATTTTGATACCGTCGCTACAACGAGAAATAACGAATAACAACGAAGGACA